TCTCTTAGGCCTCACTGCAAAGACATACAAGTTTTAAACATACTATTTCTGGTGATAATGGAAAGACTATAAAAAGAGCAGAAGAACTTATGATCACTCTTCTGGCATGTCCCAAAACAGAAGTCTGCATTAAGCATTGCTCGAGAGCTCAAAACTAGCAAAGCTGAAAAATGCCATTCCCTGTAGTTGGCACAGCAAGAAATCACACCAGTACTCTTTATGCGAAACATGCCTGTTTGTATTCTCGCAGACCCTAAGGGTACGCATTCATCAAAAACTATTATAGATAGGCAAAGGTGTAAACATGCCCACCATGTTTTCACTGGCATTATCACTGTGAAAGTGTAAGATTTTCTAAAGGTATTTCTACTTTTTCAAAGTAATAGCAAAAATGTTTGCTTTTTGGAGCACTTAGCATGATTGTTTTCTCATTTTTGATTTGTGCTTTCTGAATAGTTCCATAATATATAATAAACCAAGCATGACATAAAGGGATGTCATTTACAACCCAAATGCATGTGCATAACCATTTTCTTTTGAAAACAGTATGTAAACTGCAGAGCAGTGATCGTTTTAGATATTCTACTCCTGCCATTAAGACATCTGTGAGCGACTCAGCTTTAGTAACATTTCGGTATATAATTATTGCGTGTGTGTGTCATCCCACTTTGGCAGCTATGAAGTAAAGAGTTTGTTGTCTAGCAAGTTTCTCTCTGCTCCCTAATTTCAGATGTAGCAAACCCTGTAAGGCTGCAGTACTCCAGCACTCTACTTATCTGTGTTTTCCAACAGCTGAGAAAACCGGATGACTGAAGAAGGGTGGTTTTGCGTTTTTAGGATAGTTTTGAGCTTGAATATAGTTTTACTCATTTGGCAGGTTAACTTCTCTGGATGTTGTCGCAGCGTCAGCAGCTCCCTACTTTGACCTTCATTCGTACCATTCTGAGGCGCCTTGTCTATACCGAAATGCAAGTTTCGTAAGCAGGGTAAGTTCTCTGGGAGCTTCTGTGGGTGTTCAGTGTAGGTGTGATGCTTTTGTAGAGAGTGAAATCTTCAAGAGACAAAGACTAAACATATCTTTCAACTGGAGAATGCTTTTCTGTTGTGCTTGTTTTCTGTTTTTTCTAATTTATAAATCTGTCTTTCTCCTGAGCCTTGCCACGCTGACTCCTTGGGCATTCAGAAGTGAAGAAAGACAGACCTAATTTTGTTCATATTTGTCAGCCTGATGCACTGTTACACTTTCTAATTTCTGTGCCAAGGGGATCTAAAATATACTATCATACAAGCTAAACTTAAATAATACGTTCATCTTCCACTGAAAGTTTCAGTTATTGTAGTGAGTATTGAAAGTAAAATACCTAGCCTAGTAGAATAGTTTTTATTTCAACTCAGTAAAATTTCTTCTTTTTATTTAATTCAGAGATAGACAAGTAAATAAAGTATTTCCCTCAAGGAACAACATTGCTTTTCACAAAGTCTTTTAAAATTTCTGTTAGGAAAAACCTTCATAGGAAAGAACAAATTTCTCACCAAGAAGAAAATTACTTTTTGATAGCACTTGATGTCTCCTAATGCCCCTCAAAGTTTAAAATTGTTACAGAAAGATGAAACTTTTTCTATCGAGTGTAACTTTCTGCTGATAGGTTTAATAAACCATAAATAATACACAAAAGTCAAAATGAAGTTTTATCATCTTTCCCCTCAGGGAGGGGATATTTTTTTTATGAGCTAGTAAGAATTAGGTTGTAGGTGCTGGAAAGCATGGTGGTCTGTGCTGTGGATGTTCAAAGGATCCTGTGAATGAAAGAGCTATTGGTAGTCACTTCCACTCCTCTGCCCCTAAGGAAGAAGACTTTTGACCCATGATATCACAGCTGAGTGTTTCTTCTGATCTGTAGGATTCTCTCTTTAGCCACTTTGTTTATACTGTTGTTAGGCTATAGAGATACGGATACGTATGATTTTTCTTGTTCTCAGATAAGCACCAGATGAGTCTGTGATAGTGTGTAAAGCACCCCTTACTGTAGGAGTGGTGGAATCCTATTCACTATTACGGATAAATGCCCTTTTCTTATCCCCAGCACACTGGCGGTGAGATACTAAGTCCTCAATGTCCTCAGAATCCCCTTCAAGGTGATTCTTAATACTATAAAGCAACGCAGTAGTTTTGTCTCACTGCCCACTTCAAATAAACCACTTCTCTGGTCGCCTGTGAGTAACAATTAACTAGATAATGGGAGTAGAATATAGTTACGACAAAAGACGACACTTCATATCAGGTTACGTAAGCTACACTACTTAAGATTTTACATTCTTCGGACTGTTGCGCTATTTTTCTCTATGTCACAGACCACAGAAAATGATAGTGCACTGGAAGATGATGATGAAAGCCCTAGCTTAGTTTTCATCTAAGCATGCAATTAATCATGATTAAAAATGAGAAACAGACACTACCTCAGCACTGTAGCAAGGTACTTCTACTATTATGCCTGCAGTTATTTACTTGTGCAGACTCTGAGATCTCATTTAAAATAGTCTTTGTAGCTGAAACTATACAGTCAAATCTCCTATGTGCTTTTGAAAGCTGTAGTCGATCTATACGAAAACGAATCTTTCCTCTTTTTGCTTCCCAAATTGTTTCCTTAAATCGCTGATGATTCAGTAGTCCTTCATCATGCAATACAACTTCAATGCTATCTTTTACTATTTTCACCTCTCCTAAATGATGTAGCTTGCTCTCAAGTCATTGCTAAAATCTGTGCAGTGGAAACTGGCTGCAGATGAGGCTTTGAGTTGCTGCTCTCACAGAAGTGTGTTGCCGTATCTGAGCAGCTCCAGCATTGCTCACAAATGAGAGACTCTTCCCTTTGGCCATTGTGTGCTTTAGAGATTTTAACCTTGGTCTTTATTTTGCCAGCTCTTCTATTGCTCTCTCTGACCCCTCCAACTTCACGCACCTAACAGCTGTGCCCCTCTAAACTTGGCAACTCCTTTTGCTGACACTCTTTTTGACCTATTAGTCCATTTCCAACTATTCACTTTTGTGAAGTTATTTAATGCCCATCTCCATCTTATTCTAGTCCCCTTATTTGATTTATGTCGAGTATCACATTTACCGCCGCCTCTGGATGGGAAATGTCTTTCCTCATAAACTGCTGTGTGTTCTTAAAGTACTTGTCAAGAAGGGAATAGCAAAATTGTTTATGAACTAAGCAAGACAACAGTTACTGGTTTTAGCTATGTTAAGATTAAATGTTTCATTGTATTCAGTGATACAACATGTGTCTGAAGACTACATGAATTGCATTTTCAAAGGCATAGACAAAACCCTTTTTCCTACCTCAAATATGTGGTATCCAAGTTGAGTTCTTTTGTGCATTTACTGCGGTGAAAGCTACGGTGTACTTTGTATGTAAGTGTACTAAGTAAATCATATTTGCCCTTTATAAATTATTTCTATGAAAGTTGTGATATGAATTCTTAGGAAATGCATCCCAGCTAGGCATATTTCTGAGTTGCACTAGTGTGAATATGTCTACCAATGGTAGAAAACACAATAAAAATTTATTTTCATGCCTGTGTTTTAAGCCAACCCTTTCAAGGTAAGGAGTACTTTCCAATATTTCAGATTTCTATTCTATGTAGTGACAAGAAATTACAACTGCATTTACATGTGTTTGGGCCCTGTAAATTCTCAGTTCTCTGTACTTGGCATTGAAAATTTCCCATACTTAAATATTTGCTGTTTATGCATTAATAGATTTTCATTCAAATATCAATGTATTTAATATGCCTGTCTCCTCTGTCATATCAGGTGTCATGTCTTTTCAAGCACACTTCACAATCTGCTTTCTGTATCTTGATATTCCCATAATGAAGAAATTCTAGTGCTAAGGCACATTGGCAACACTGTGACAGGAGTAGAAAGTTTCTGTGTACATTTGTTACGTTAAGGAAAGTGGAGGTAGCAGAGGGAAAATGTGTCGTTCGTTTTGTTCAAACATGCAAGCAAGTGATTTTTATCATTTGTCCTTGGGTTTGGAGGGCACTCCCCTGATTTCCTTGGGAATGAATCCATGACTTTGTAAAACTTATTATTTTTACTTTCAGTGAATTTTAAAGTATCCTAAATTCACCTTCTCACTTTCAAATTATCCTTGGTGATTTAAAATTATGCCCTTGAGTATAATATTGAGAAACAGGAAGATAGTTATTCATTATTACTTACAGAATTCATGTTGTGGGTGTTTATAAGCAGATAAAAGGATCTTAATGCATGTTATGTCACATGGTGGTGATCGTTCCCATCCAGTAGAGTCATGATTTTTTTTTCTTTTTCCCTGAAGAAGTGTTGAGAAATGTCACCAGAACACAAAAGTTCTTGATGTTATCCATGTGATTATTTGTTTAGCTGAGCTTAGCCTGAGCATTGTATTCAGAGTCTGTTCCTTCTGCTATTCTACTGCAGTGAAAAGTTTCAGGGTTTTTTTTGTGTTCACTACCCTTCAGGGCTGGAACCTTCCTTGACACATTGTATCTGTTGAACAGCTCTTCCTGGAATTTACCACTTTTCTGAAGTTATGTTGGATAAGAGCAGATTACTTAGATTAACTGTAAATACGCACAAACTTTAGGGTTACTTATAAAAGTCATTGTGCTCCTTTTGTTTCTCTAAATAACATATACTATCACTGTGATTGACAGACTCCCTTCAGTTTAATTGAGGTGCATGCTTGAATTTATGGTTCTCCTGGATTTATGGTATCACTTTTAATAGCACTTTTCTTAGAATGTAATTTAATCAGTCATGAATATAACCCTCTAGCCTTGACATATAAAATGGCATGTATGTGCTTATCTGAAAAATGAAAAACTTTGAAAAAATATCAAGATCTGTGTGCTTACATGTGAAGAGACTGTAAATAGACATTTTGGTCACTATACTTTCTTCAAATGAACAGGAGTTAAATAGCTGTGAATCTATGTACTGCAGAAACATGATTAAAGATAACAACGAAATTATTCCACTAATGGACAAGAAAATAAATCCGTCTGGTATTCCCCCTCCAAACCAGCAAGAGAAAAAGCTGACTGAAAGCACTCCCACAAAGAAAAGGTAGGACTCTAGACTCCATTGAGTCTAAACTGCTAAAACTCCCTGTTTTATCTCCTTTAATAGACATTTGCGTGAAATATCACTAACATCTTTATTCACGCTGTATATATGAATGAGAGACACCCAATGAACACAAGGTGCCTTCAGAAATAATATATGCTTATGCTGTTTAGAAGTGGAAGGGTATCCTGGTTAGGTAGACATATGATGTGTTTACCCTAATGGGACAAATATTTAACCTCTATCCTAGAGGTATCAGACTCATGCATCAGTCTTTAAAGTTTGTCTCATATCAGCTGGGCTTTCTGCGTCCAGTCTACATACCTCTATAAGCTTACAAGTACGTGGTCTAATGATGCTCACTGTTTCAATAGGAGAAGGTGGAGTGATCTTTTTTAAAGAGATCATGTGGCAGAGTACACCAGGTTTTATGTAAGAGAGATTGACCTGAAAAAAGGGAGCATTTCAAACTTGGCCTGACATGGGAATGGGACAGATTATGGAGAGGCAGAGGTGAATTAAAAAATGAGGGCTGGGAAAACAGGAGTTTTGAAAAATCCTATCAGAAACAGAAACATGAATTCACTCTGTTTTTCATTATTCTGATTAACAAGACTTCTTCATTATTATATTTTATAAAATATTCACTTTCATTCATAATTTATGCTAGAGAATTAATAAAAGGATTAAGGGTTTGTATTTAATATGAAAGGGGAAATATAAGCAGTAATTCATCCCTGATACTATGCTATTGAAGTCAACTAAGTTACTGTAGATGAATTTTCATTCATAAACTTTTCATTCTAGCTAATTACTAGCTATTGTGGCAATTTTTGAAGCTCTGAAGGCGTATGCAATTGCAGCTGTTCTGACATTTATAATTCTTAATAATCAGAGGAATCACTTTCCACAGAAATGGTGTCATTAGTTATTTGAGACCCACTGCCTGGGTGGCCCAATTTGACTTTCTGTCACTAACTTAAAAAACAGAAGCTCTTTGGTTGCATAAGGGGCAGATGAGGTGTCTGAACAGCTCACAATACGCCCAGTACTTCAAAAACGGGCAATTCCACAGAAGATTGTGTAGTTATAACAAATACTGGCAAATACTACCCCTCAATTATTTAAGCTCATATCTCACATTCGGTTTTGTGGCATCAGTAACAGTAACCTCGGGGTTTTTCCCTCGTCTCAACCAAAATCCCAGGGTGTGGCCAGCAACATTCCTGTAATATAAGGAATGAAGATCACGTGAATTTTAATGCAGAGGTTTAACGTGTTCTATTAATTATAGGTTTCTATGCTGCTGTACTTCTGTTGCTTCAAAATGCTTTCTTCTACTGTGGCACGGAGCAGCTAGTGCACTTCCACAGGTGACATTTCTCACTTGGCAAAATGTATTGGCAACATGCACTTTCTCAAAAAAGTGACTTCCCCTTCTTGAAGGTCCTGGAATTTGGGTGAACTAACTATATAATTAAGTACAGGAAAACTGACAGGCAGGCTGGGAGGAGTGCTGCCAGTGTTGTCAGAGCCTGATTACGTTTGTGGGCAGTGTTCCTGAGAGTGTGCGCCATGACCACGTAAGCACTTGGGTATTTGTTGGCAACTGTCTACCTGCTTTGCACGGTGGCTTTTCTTTCCCTCCCGCCCCGGTGTCCTCAGACAACCTACGTGCCAGGATAGGTTAGGTATGTCTGCCTCCAAAACAGGGTCCACTTCATAGCTGCTGTGCTTCTATTGGATGTCAAAAATCTTCAGCATGAACACATTGCTGGGAGAGCAGGAGCTGCTCTCAGACATCAGCCTGTAGGGCACCGTCCCCTCCTGGTGCTGAGCCAAGGGCAGGTGAGATGGTCCAGCGAAGCTTAGAGCTTGGTGCTTCTGGCTTTATGGAGGTTCATTGTGGCCTCCAGCAGATACTTGCCTGTTGGGACAGCTCCTGCACTTCATGGTCAGGGAACGCAAAAAAGCAGAATGAACCCATGTTTTTCCCACTCCTCCTTAGTCTCGCTGCCAAATCCAGTGAAACAACAGTGATTTACAGCAGCTGGCATAAGTGATGGCAATGGTCCTGTTTCTCTCTAGGTTTTTCCTGTACTCTGAAGAGCACCCCTGCCTACGTAATTTCGGGGACACACTCCTGCTAACCAGAAGTGGCATTTTACTTGCTGCCTGCTTAGAATACATTCACAGGCACATCTCAAATGTTTGAAGGTCATATAAGTTTAAACAACTACACACAGTGAATTAACACTTGGGTCACCAGGCCATTGGAAAATGAGATGAACTAGGGCCATTAAATCATGCTATTTTTAGCAGATATCAGCAGGTTGTTCAGTAGTGTCCTAATAATGTACTGCATTTTAGCATCAGTATATGTACTTTAATTCAACAGAATTCTTTTGGGAAGATGCAGTTAAAAAAAATAAGAAATACCCTATGGACTAAACAATAAATATTAAGTGAACTAGAAACATTTTCCAGGTGACTACTGGCACATTTTGGAAATGGAAGATGGTTTCTGAACAATGCCATGTCGGAGTCATTACATCCACCACTGAAACTCCCCTGTCTTTGGTGACATGTAGTAATGTTTTAATGAGATCTAGTAATACCAAGCCATTGATTTTGCCTCTTAACTCTGCAGGCTTTTAAAGGGTGAAATTTCCTATTCTTCTCATGTTCCCTTTTCTGTGTTGTTCCAAATTTCATTTCTTTTCCCTATAAAAAATTATTTATAGGGAAAAGAAATAGTTAACTGTCAATGCACTGACTGGCAAGATTACACATTCAGTCCTGGATGGTCGAAATGCCTGATGTCACTTAACATGTGACCTTTCAAACTTTCTGACTTAATGATTATCACTGCTGATGGGTTTGAAATGATCCATCCTGATGGCTGCTGGCTGGAGAAATAGGGACTAGAATGCAGTAGATTAAAAAGCGTGTGTGTATGCATACGTGTATGGCTGTTCAATAAATGTCTGGTGGTGCATTTAGCTATTAGCACAGAACTTGGATGCAAGGCTGTTTTTAGGTTGCTGGGGTAGCTGCTTAGACATGTCAGGATCTGATGCCATGTGTCCTAAAAATATCTTGGGATTTTTTTGCCCATCTGCCAGCATAAAAGTGCTGGGCACAGTGTTGGAGGTTGGGATCCCCCCAAGGCAAAGTAGATAAGCCACTGTTCCAGTGTTCTATTAGGTATAATGCCAGAAAACATAAATTGTCAGCCTTGTCCTAGGTACATACATGTAGTGCTTTGCTTATTTTATGGTTGAGCTTGCTTTTTTTACTAATACTTTTTAAATGCACTGTGTTCAACAGTTCACACTTTTTTCTGGAGATTGACGGTTTTGAAAGCAATGCAACTCCAAATAATACGTCTCCCCCTGTGTTTTCAAAACCAATGGATTCAAATATTCGTCCATGGTAAGTTACAGATGCAATGCAATAGTCATACTGCAAATATACCTGTTTTCTTTTCAGCAGCTACTCCTTATTTCTCCTTAGACTTCAGAGCTAAAATTTCACCTGGCTTTTCCTAGCTTTTGGTCACTTCAAAGACAGAACTCCATTGGAGGTCACTTGTTGCTAGATGACTTATCTTTGAGTTTATCTACTGCTGTCATTTACACTGAATAAATCAGGCCTCAGATTTGAATAAATTTAAAATCAGTACAGTCTTTATCTTGGTCTCTTATTTATGATACATTAGGACAAACTCCATGAACCCATTTGTGTATTTTCTACTGCATGAAGACCACAGTTTGATTTAGCAAACCCTATTCCCAGCTGTGTGCTGACATTCTCCCTCTATTGCTCATTAATGATCAAACAACATGAAGATGCTGAGTCTGAAATACTTAAAGGCAGCCATTTATGCTGAATGAATAGAGAAAAATTATGACTGGGAAGAATGCACTTAATTTCTTTAAAATGTGTGTGGTACTAACAGCCAACAATTATGAATAAGAGAAATATGCATCAAATCTAGCATAAGCCCAGAATGGCCAAATGTTTTTGTGTCTGATGGATGTCTAGTCAGCTTTTTGGAATTAGTTGACAATCTTATTTTGGTTTCAGAGGAGAGGTATCCAAATTTCTCCCTCTCATTCAGGGACTGACCTGCACAAGACACATACGCTTTGTCACCAGATTCCTCACGGTTTTCTGCAGAGAAGTGATAGACTGAATAAAAATGGACTCTGAGCTACCAGCTGTATTTCAAAGGGAAGGGAATATCTGCAGAGCAATGCTGAATCCTTGCATTACTGTCCATACATCTGTTTTGTCAAAAACTAATAATTCAGGCTCCTTGTTATTAACCTGAGGTAGTTCATCAAATCTGAACCTTACAGAAAACAAAAATACAAATAAGAAAAATCATAATAGATCAATTTTTAAGTCAGATCTGCTTTTAGGAATGTCTGGAAATTATGTACAGCAATTGCAAAATATCAATGCCATTGAAAACCTTTAAATTTATTACCTAAATACGTATTTAGGGCCCAGTCCTCAATTTCTTTTAGCTGAAGCTTCCATTCAAATCAGCTGCAAAATCATAGAATCACATGCTCATATCATATCAAATGATATAGCAATCATATATCAAATGCTCTTGAGTTGCCTACAGTGTACTGTGTAGTAAATTTTTCGGTAAATCACTTTCATTGTCTGCTTGCAACCCATGCACTGTTACTGATTTAGCACTTGTTTTGTGGCAGATGACAAATTAAGCATGTGAAAAGGAAGAATCTAAGCTTCAAGCATTCAAGATGATGCATGAAAAGCAGTGATCTTTAAAAAAAAAAAAAAGAAAAAACTCCCTACAGTTTCAGGATTTGTAATGAAATAACACAGTAAAACACAAACCAGGTTGCTTTCCTAATGATTTTTAAAATATAATAAAATCCTGTGAGTCTCTTCATTTTTACCACTCACTTTAAAATTCACGGGGGAGATAAAATGATAGAATTAAAAAGCACAATGTCAAAGTAGACTAATTCCAGCTTTACTGTAAATACAGCTTCGTAGATTGACTGATTCTTCACGCAATTTGCCAAAATGTCTTCCAATATCTTCCTGACTCAGCACTTATGCTTTTCTGTTTTCTATAGTGCGTCCGGAAATGGGGAAGATATGGATTCCCCACAGTCTCTTCAGGATGATGCCACTGAGTATAGCCCTAATGTAGACAGTTGTTGGTGAGTGGAGCATGAAGTATTTCTTGGTACATTTTCAATGGATTAAGTCTATAATAGGGTAGATATTACCTATTTTGCCTGCCATGTTTTAGCAATAAGGTCACTTGTGTGCATGCATTTCTCATTCTTCAATAATTAAATTTTGAAATAAACAACTCTAACATCTGCTTTTCTCAAATCTCATATTTAGTGTGAGGATTCTTCTTCATATGTCTGTTTCCTAGATGACAACACAGGACCTAAACACCATGTACAATTAGGCAACAGCAGGAGTATTTCTAATTGGGGGAAAAAAATATTAAATCATTCCAGATTAACGTATGATCAGGAAAGTTCTGTAAGAAGATGTGAGGTTAAAAATTACCTTCTGCTTTGAGTGGGATGGATGCAGCTGGAGTGCAGCATCACGTAACTGCAGGCACTGAAGTCAGCAAGTTGTAGACAGATCATAGAAGCATTTCTTAGCCTTTGTTTCAGAAGAATGGATAAACTGGAAAAAAATGCAAACCAAAATACTTGAAAAATGAACACTTTTATTATAAAAACCCTCTCAATAGCCACTTGTCCACAAATAAACAATCTGCAGAAACATTGAGAGATCCATGCCAAGATATATATATATGGAAGCGGGGCAAGTATGAGTAGTCTGGGGCAAGTAGTTGTATTTCTTTTTCCTTTTATGTAGAAAATAAAATAAAACACAGTAAATTGAATCAGCAGTTTCATTATTATTTCTTATAATTCAGTGCTAACATATCACAAGGACCCGAGCAGACTAGTGCCCGGAAGAAGTTGAAAAGATACATATTTCGGGCAGTATCTGAGGGGAATATAGAAGAATTGCAATGTCTGCTCACAGAGCTGAAGGAACGATCAAACGCGTGTACAAACATGACTGTGCAAGGTAAGCTGTGGAGTTACCTGAAGGAAGATTGTTAGCTCTTCTGGCAGCATATCTGTAGTCTAAAACTGGGAAATACCTCTGTGCAGCACCTACTTCCCTGTGAATTTGCAGTCACTTGTTTGTAATGTAATGTACGTCACATTTCCTATTTCTAAATGAAAGCTGAAGGTATTCAATCAGCCACCTCCTTGCTGCCTCCAAGGCAACGCTGGAGAGTATTTGTGTCCTGCTTATGATACGCAGAGGGTCTATCTGCACTGTATGCCTGTAGCCATGCCTAAGCTAGCCTTCTGCATCACGAGACTCAAAGCTGATGCCTCTATCCAAACTGCAATCAAATTGCAGTATAGACTGGGCTTGTGATGTGTGCAGCACGGTAGAATGGGCAGAGAAGTTAGGAAAGAGTTCTGGGTCTGTCTGGAGTTACCATGGCAATGGCATGTGTCTGAAAGAAAAACCAAGTGCACTGGCTACCTTATCAATTAGTACCACATCTCTGAATGCATTGTCTCACCCAGTATACATAGCTCAAATACAAAGCGAATAGGAGGGAGTAATTGTTTGGCAAATAATTTATGTTCATATATATCCCTCAGGTTCCACTCCTAATAAATAAAATATTATCTTCCATCCACTTTAATAAATAATGATGGTCTAATGTCAAAATTCACTTTTGTAGATTATCTGATGAAAAAATTCACAGCTTTAGATACTGGCAAAACTTGTCTGATGAAAGCTCTGCTGAATATCAACCAAAACACAAATGAGATAGTGAATACGCTACTATCCTTTGCAGAAGAAAATGGTATTTTGGAGAGATTTATCAATGCAGCATACACAGAAGAGGCATATAAAGGTATTGCCATCTGATACCAATTTCAGGTACATGGTTAAATATACCATCCATAAAAGTACTGTTTTCTTCAAACATTCTAATGATGGTTTAAATTCCTAAAACAACTTTTATTCATTATCACTGGTGCTATCTGTTGTGAAACATCATTAATGTTTCACAATGTGCTTAAGACAGTCCACACTAAATACCTGTTTCTGTTGTTTCAGGCCAGACAGCTCTAAATATTGCCATTGAAAGAAGACAATATGAAATAACTCAGAGCCTTATAGAAAAAGGAGCTGATGTCAATGCTCATGCCCAGGGTATTTTCTTTAATCCCAAACATAAGCATGAAGGCTTTTATTTTGGTAAGTGGAAATGCAATCTCTCTGGAAAAGTTAGGAAGGAATACCCAAACAAGTAAGACAGTATGGAAGACAGGCAGGTATGAATCATTACTGTAGCTAAATCTAGGTTAGGAAATTCACATAATAAGATATAAAAATGGCATAGTAGCTTTTGTAAACATAACTTTTATTTTCTCCAAATAATGTTTTCATGCAGATTAAGCTTTTATAAAACAAGAACTAAATTCAATACAATCAATATGTAAATGTGCTTTCATGTATTAAGACACGTCACACAGTCACTCTTTTATAGTACGATTTGAATGCTCGTAATAAAACATGAACATGTTACATTTTATAATTTTGTAGGTGAAACTGCACTGGCGTTAGCTGCATGTACCAATCAACCAGACATAATTCAACTGTTAATGGACAATGCCAGGACTAATATTACTTCTCAGGATTCCAGAGGAAACAATATCCTCCATGCATTAGTTACTGTGGCAGAGGACTTTAAAACCCAGAATGACTTTGTAATCAGAATGTATGACACGATTTTGTTGAAAAGTAAAGACAGAAATTTGGAAACAACAAAGAATAAGGAGGGTTTGACACCACTACAATTAGCTGCAAAAACTGGGAAATTAGAGGTGGGTATTATTTCAGCAGCATCTAAGAGAAATTAAATATGGCAAAGGACTCAAAGCCAACTATATACTCAGATGTTAGTGCTCTGACATGTAGTTTTCCATGCTGGTTATGCTGCACTATGCATCAATAATATTTGGTAAGCTAATTTTGTTCAAAATACAAGCAAATATTTCTATTGCAATGTTGCTTCTACCCTTCAAGTTTTCCCTCTAACAACCTTTCTCTGTGCAAACTACATGTGCTGTTTAAAAACAGGTTTGCAACAGTTTCTGTTGTACAGAAACTCAGAAATACTGCATTTATTACAATACTACACTTATATACAATCTTTGTATAATTTCGGAAGGCTCACTAGAACTGCTCTGATATGCTGCTGTAGAATATGGCTTTCAAAAATCAGCTGTATTGTGGTAAAGAATTAACAATGGGATAATTTAGAAAGTAATTGATTAAGCTAAAGGAAGATATAAATGTGAACACATGGAAAATTGTGTTTTCATCCTTTAGAAAAATGTCTCTGACAGGAAATCTGGAGGTATTACACTGTATTTATTTCCTAGAGGTCTGTCATCTCTAACATTGCTTACTGAATAACAGAATTACAAACACATTGAATTGCACTACTGTAGCAAATGTGATAGTTAAAAGGTAGGGGTTTCGGCAAGTATATATGTGTGCTTTCACCTTTCCCATGGAGAACACATCTGCTTACAAATGATTCTGTTAATGTTTTAGATTCTGAAATACATCCTGAGCAGAGAGATAAGAGATAAGCCTAACAGGAGCCTGTCAAGAAAATTCACAGACTGGGCTTATGGTCCTGTGCAATCTTCCCTTTATGATCTAACAGAACTAGATACCACCGCAGACAATTCAGTATTGGAAATCATTGTCTATAATACAAATATTGGTGTAAGTTACCTATTTCTAAAATATTTTTTTTTTCCTAGCAGTATACTCATTTCAGATGTGTTAGCCTATATATTTGACTGAATTACTTGTAAAACATTAAACAGTAATTTTTGGTTCTCAGTTTTGTATCAGGACCAAGATGAATTTTATACCTGTGTAGATATTCACTGACAGTTGACAATGCATTCAGCTCCTGAAACACTGGCTAGGCATTTGGGGACTGTTTTTTCTACCTTTGAAGTGTTAATTTGCCTTGCATAGGAACATAAATATGGCTCAGCTGGTCAGACCAAAGCTAGTGTCTTGTCTCCATGGAGTGGCCACTAGCAGCTGCCTAAGTGCATGAGAACAGGGCAAGCAAACAGAAATACTTTGAGAATACTCTGCCTACAGTTATAAACTTTACTTAACAGGTATGTATTTTAGGCATTTAGGAAGAAACTTATCACAGAATGTTAGCATTTCAAAGCCAGAATTCAGATGCTGCCATAAAACTTCTCTAGGAAGCAAGACCAGAAGTTCATACTACAGTTTTAGCTCAATCATAGTTTACCAGAGTATGGCAGGTTGACCCAGCATGAGTCAGAGTTCTCCCATTGTATCTTGTCAGGTTAGGATCTGACATATATGCTGTATTATGGTCTGAGCATAGATGTGTTTCTAGATCAGCAAGGACAGATACTGAATGAAATACAGAAAATACATGCCTGAAATTATCTCCGTTTCCTTACAGGTTGCAAGTTCAAATCTTAATTGTTTGGTTTTTTTTCCTACAGAATCGCCATGAAATGCTGACGTTGGAGCCTCTGAATTCACTGCTGCGAATGAAATGGAAGAAGTTTGCACAACAGATGTTTTTTATGTCATGCTGTTTTTATTTCCTATATAATGTAACACTAACATTAGTTTCCTACCACAGGCCTAATGAAAATGAAGTGAGTACAGCAACTTAATCTCAGCAAATTTTACTCCTTTAAAATACAATAGTATTTCCTGAATTGTATTTAAAATGCTAAACCAAAACCAGATATCAGAATAACTGGCTGTAGTGAGACCAGGTCCTCCCACATCAGGTCTTTGGATCTGGAAGGAAGAGCAGCAGTAAGAGGAGATTTGCATTTTGTGAAAGTGACCTAAAATACAAATACATAATACAAAGACAGGTAGTTAAATTTTTAAAAGTGTGAGGAGGGTTTTTTGTTTTTCTTTTAAGAAAGAAACTTCTGGCATTTCAAATATACATGTTAGGGGACCGATTCTGTAAATCCACCATGAAGAAAACTCTCAGTGAAAGGGAAGAAACTGGATACCCAGAGAGATACATACTTGAGGCTTCCTGTTACTTTGCCTTTTATTGTTCAGGTATGGAACTCAGTCTCTCATTTTGGACCTGTCTTACAGGCTCCACCTTATCCACTAGCTCTAACACGTGGCGTGGGATGGCTGCAGTTATCGGGACAGGTGATGGTTATGTTAGGAGCAATATTTTTAGCCATAAAAGAGGTAAGACTTTTTAATAACATACATAACAAAATAGGTAAAGAACTTGCCTAGATTTATGAGTACACTGATGATGATCTTGGAAATACATTTAGAATATATAACATCTAAAAGTCTTTGGCACAATACATCACTTATTTGGAATGACCAGGAATATATGTTTCAATATAACTGCATTGCTCTGTGAAGCAAATATGAGGGTGTTTTCCTTTCAAATTCTCAGTACAGAGATCTTATATTTGTTTAACATCTCTGTTGTCAAATTACTGGCTTTAAGGACACTGTTGAATTAGAACTTGTAACAGGGAAAAAACCCAAGGTATTAATTTTACCATATACTATAAGTAATTAAAACCAGTAACTAACTGTTAAATTATGCCAGAAATGACAGAAATTTAAACTTTGAAGTTACAGCCCTATAAAAAGATTTTTAATTGTAGAAGCTATGTCTTATGAGTAGATTGATTTTTTGTTTGTTTGTTTTTTTAAGAAGACCAACTTCAATTATTTTGAAAAATCAATTTTGAGGCTTGCTTTCTCTTACTACCATTTCTGTATTTTATATATCCGTCTACATAGAGTGTAGCCATCTTTCTGCTTAGGCCCTCAGACCTGCAGTCAATTCTTTCTGATGCGTGGTTCCACTTTGCATTGTAAGTCTGTCATGCATATATTTTATACTATATATATATATGAAAGATATATTTAGGCTTATCTATCTCATGGTCGCAGAGAATGTACTCCCGTAGCAGATGCTCACTTTTTCTCTAGATTATCGGTATTTAGAGTGATGGATGTAATCTTACGCATAGCTTTTCTGTAACACACACTAATGGTTGCACGAGTTGGTAACAGTACTGGGGGTTGATGTGTACGGACTGGATTTTTTCCAAAGTACAGTACTGTCTTTAGCTTCTCCTGATGCTGTATCTCTTTAGAGGTGTATATAGAGAAATGTGTCTAAGAAACCTGATTAATAAACCAGATATAGTTTCACACTCCTCTTGCCTCCTTCAGGAAGGAAAAATAGCATAAAGCTGGTTTAGCTGGCTGATGGGAGTATCCCATCAGCTGGCCTAGATAAAGCACAGATGATTCCCTCTCATTTCCAGCATATGATTGTAAGATCAATAAAAAGAGAGGTAACTTAATTCTACCTTTCTTCCTTCTCCTACAACCACACTGATATTGATCTTGTGCTGCTGAGAATCTGGTCCACATCCTATCACAGCACATCACACCTTCTCCCAGTGTCTTCCTTGTTTATGGAAAATCTGTAATGATTCTAACAATTCATTAAGCTAAAGCTTGAATTAAATTACTTCAAAGATACTGTTCAGAATTCTTAATGTCTTTGTCAGCAAAATCTGCATTGACCAGCTATTTTTGGGGACGGTAGTTCATTTAAAGTAAGCTTTAATATAATCCTAATATGTTAATATACTACCTGTACTCATCCATTTTATTGTTAAACTATAATGGTCATGGAGAGAACAGAATACAATATGAAACTAGAATTGAAGCATAAGAAGCAAAGAAGCCTTGTTTTCATATTTTTCCATTATGTTGTTGGTTTTGTGCTAGCAATTTCCCTTTTACATACATGTGTTTGTTTTTTAACAGTTTTATACAAGCTCTGCTTGTGATCTTCTCTGTCTTTTTGTACTTATTTTCCTACAAAGAACACCTCGTGTGTCTTGTTTTGGCAATGGCCCTAGGATGGGCTAATATGCTCTATTTCACCAGAGGTTTCCAGTCCATGGGCATTTACAGTGTTATGATTCAAAAGGCAAGTTTGTTTTGTTTTGTTCTACCTGTCTTGTTATGATGCTTACTTGTTATGATACAATCCCAATCAAGCATATTCAGCAATTTAATGTATTTTATAGTTCATACAAATTTCTTATTTTCAGTTTATACATATTATTTCAGCAGAATACACTACATAACTTCAATGGCAGAAACTAGTTTCTATCTTAAATTTAGCATTTTATTACATTAAATATGTAACTTGTGTTTTTTCAGCTAATGTAGTTCTGCTATTTAATTGCATCATATGCTGTAATGCCTATATTGTACAGAGTTAGTCACCCTTGGACAACACACCAGGCTCTCAGTCATTAGATAAAAAAATAAGACCTAAATCTTCTCTGGGTTTCTCACTGAGACTACAATCAGTTTGCTTAGTGAAAGCAATCTGATACTTTAGTGTGTACAACACCTGTATCCCCACAGAATTCATAAGCGTAAAACTAGTTCTCATTTTTCATTTCTGATAAATATTTAATTTAATTTTTAGGTCATCCTGCAAGATGTGATAAAATTTTTAGTTGTCTATATCGTGTTTTTGCTGGGATTTGGCGTAGGTAAATATTACTGGAGAAAAACACTGATGCTCTGTGTGAGTAAAAATTTTAGCATTATTATGAGTAAGAACCCTACTGTCATGATGAGAGCTCATGTCGGGGTTTCTTCTGGATATTAAAAAGCCAGATTTAGAGATTTAAACTGTCTACAGACTATCTGAACAGATAAGTAATTTGGCTCTTTCTCAGTTGCCTGCAATTTCATTTGGACGTGGGCTCTTTCTGCCTCCTGGTAATCTGTCATCTAGCTGCTGCTGTGTATGTTGCTGGGCAGCTCTAGCTCTTTATTATGCAGTGCATTTTGAATTCTTTAAGATAAAATGACATGTATACATAAAGCAGTATTGTGATTAAAATTTTCTCATGATTTCTTCTCAGCTCTTGCTGCATTGATTGAAACTTGCCAAGATGGCAGTGAATGCCACTCCAACAGCAGTCTGGGACCTGTTCTGATGGACCTTTTTAAGCTCACCCTAGGACTGGGTGATCTGGAGATCCAGCAAAATTCGAAGTATCCGGTGCTATTTCTTCTGCTCCTCATAACTTACGTTGTGTTGACTTTTGTTCTTCTCTTGAACATGCTGATTGCATTAATGGGAGAAACAGTGGAAGATATTTCTAAAGAGAGTGAGCACATCTGGAAACTCCAGGTTTGTGAGTTAGTTTGCTCACCAAAGTATAGATGTACTGGCTAAAATGTTTTGAGCTGTACCTATGGTAACTTATCATGCTGATGGAATGGGTTAGGTATTAACGACGATAATGCCCATTTGTATATGTGTGCAAATAATGGAAATAAGTAATATTAGTATTAGGGTATCGTAGTAACTTCAGAATTAACAACTATCCTAAAGGTAATCTTATGGCTCGGATTTTCAACCTCATGCCCTGTCACAGACCTTTATGACTTTCATTCCCCTTGATATGTCACCAGGAAGGTGTGTTTCATTATCTTCCCAGAATCTGTAACACAGCATGCTCTGCTATTCCACCCCTTCAGTTTGAGCAATGCATGAGTTCATCCCAATGTCTCATACCTTGCCCGAGCCTGGTCTTTTACCAAGGCTAGACAGCTCTGTGTCCCAAGCTGCCATTGAGAACATAGTCATAATTAGGATTGGAGTTGCCTTCTGTGGTGGGCAGCATCCCACTACAGGTTTTATATATCCCTGTGGCCGGGCATTGCATGAAGGTGCGTTAGCATTAAACTCTAAACACTGAGTTTGGAGTGAGATTTCTTGATTCTTCTCTGAATATGCCTTCTGTGGTGGGGCTAACTAGAGAAAGCTGTGGACTCCCTATTTGCACATGCCAAATAATAAGTGGCATGCCATATTATTTGCTATTGTTGGAATCAGTGTTGGTTATGGATAGTGGACGGAGGCATGATATGTTGTAATAAAACATGGAGCCTGTAAACTGTATATGCTATGAAATCAGACAATTTTGAACATGGTTAACCATCCTCATGTTACTATTTGTTGTTAATAGAGAGCCAGAACTATTTTGGAATTTGAAAAATTCTTACCAAAATGTTTGAGGAAAAAATTCCAACTGGGAGAACGGTGTAAAGTGGCTGAAAATGACACCAGGGTGTGTTTAAGGTAAAGCAAAGCTAGAACACTGTGCTATCCATGCTGCTCTGTACGTTTCTTAAAGGTTATTTCTCCTCAAAAGCCTCTCTAAAATATTTCTACATCTCTACAAATTATATTAGGTATACAAAAATCCAATTTGTTTTTTTCAGTTATGACCAATTATTTTTAAAAATGGAAAATGTATTGGGTTTTTATGTAGACAATTTTTTGTAAGAAAACAGATTTTCAACTTCATATGTTTTTAATGTACACATATCAAGTCTACTTGCAGTAAATGTCACTTTCTCATAATCTCCTTTGAATGTTAACTTAAAAGTAATGATATTTGAATTGATTGCTAATTGATGATTACTGTATTAAAGAACATTTCCTATGCTGTTTTATGAAAAATACTTAAATATTTAAGGTGAGTTTCAAGACTGTACTCATAATGTGTGAAGTTATAAAGTAGTCTTAGTATTATTCTTGTCTTCATATAGTACATAACACTGCATACTTTTTGCATTTGTTGATGGCAAAGTATGACAATCCCAAGAAGGAATAAAGAAATAAAAGGGGAAGTGCAGCTATGTAGCTGGGAGATAATGCATGCTAATAACACAACTTATATACAATATAAACAGGATTAATGAAGTGAAATGGACCGAGTGGAAAACACACGTTTCATTTATTAATGAAGATCCAGGGCCAACAGGTACTGCAGAATTTAATGACACCATATTTGTGAAACCGTTTTTTTTTCTTAGAAATGCTTTGATATAGTTTTATAACTTTAAATATATAAACTCTCATAATCTAGGTATTCAACCACACTTTACTGCTAGGGAAACTCATGGCTAATATGGTAGGGTTGTTAAATTATTTTTAAAGTTTTGAAGAGAGGGTTGGCTACAAACTCTCATTATTTACACCTTGGCACCAAAACATGGTGGTTTTATCTTTATTTTTCTCTAAGCAGTTAAGCTTGATGTAAGTTTTACATTCTGTTATGGCATTTGAATGGTATAAGGCCAGAGAACTATTTAATAGACAGAAAATGTTGTTTTGAAAAAGTTGTCATAAAGTACATTTAGTCCTTAAATAGTTACATATAGCATTGCAAAATTTGGCAAGAAATCAGACTGATTCTACCTAACGATAGTTTAGTCTGCTGTTTTTAACCCTAGAACATTGATGTTTATGTTTTGCAATACATATTGGATGACAAATTGCCCCTTCTGAATGTTGACCGGGAAATTCAAGATACCCATCTGCTGACAGTGTTGGAAGTGTAATAGAGAAATGACCTAACTTTGAGGTGTCAGAGGTCCTTCTGGCAGCAGGCGCCTGAGTTTACGACAGGGGCATATGAGGATCTGGAAGACTTGTTCTGAAGTTTGTTCTTGAGTCAATTAGCATTTATATTGCTTAGTAGAATGAGCTCAGTAATAATGAAAAGGGACAGACAGAAAAATTTCTGTATAAGATATGGTAGTAAACTGACAACTTACTGTTTAAATAAATGCATGGTTTTCAACAAAAAAATAGATGTGCAAAACTTTGATCTTGCATGTACAGTTTCTACCACATCCTGTTTTGTTTATAATGCATTTTTTTGCAGATCCAAGCAAAGTTCAAGATAATTCAAGAACTAATAGCAAAACCACCCTGAATACGTTTGAAGAAATGGATGATTTGCCTGAAACTTCTGTTTAGTTGTGCTGTGTTTGACGTGTGGTCGTTCTGAGGGTTAAAAGCACCAGTAGTGGATGCTGAAAGCTTTGTTGATATTTTGGACAGCTGTAGCCAGCTGGAACACAAACTTTCAGGGTCTGATGGCTTTAACCCATCTAATCAGGGCAGCTAAGCTAAAATAAAATGGACTATTTCACTGGTTCAGTTTTGAGCCTCTTGAAATCCATTGCTCTCCAAGTTTGTGTGACACTACTCAAACTTGGCTCTAGACTTTTTATTGGATAACAAAGGTCAAATGTGAGATATTTCTTTCTTTTGTGGAAAATTAAGATCATCGTGATCTCAATCTGCTGTCTTTTGGAATTTCTTAACTCATGAGAAACATTTTGTACACTGAAAAAAGTTAAGTTCTTGTCATGGAGCAAAGGCATTTCAATTCTGAAGACTACTAAATGAAGTATGTGATTTTGAAATAACAATGTTCTGCGTACATTTGAAGCTTTTGTACTGTCTATCAGTGTTATTGGAGGCTTGATCCCCCAAGTTGGAGAAAGCCTCTTCAGGTCTCATTAGCTTTGCCTGATCTGTTTTCCTGTGTGTAATCCCTAGGGTATAATGTGGTGGTTACTGCTCTTTATTTATTACTATGTATATATGCCTTCTCATAAAATAATAAGGCAGAAGTATAATTCATGATGGAGAATATTTCTGAGTTTGTTCCAGTCACAATGTCTTTACTTTTCCTACTCAGCTTTTCCATGCTGTTGCATCTTGCTGCATAAAATAAGTTATCATGTGGGAAGTTCTTCTGGTTTAAAAGTAAATTAATTTCTGTATTCAACCACTTCAGAAAAATAAGAAGACAGTATTTCTTCCCAAAAAGAACAAAAGTTAAATGCAATGCAATTGCAGACTTTTAAGATCTTTATTTTGCATTCAGAGGATTATGTAATGCATTTCTGTAGCACTTTTTATTTTAGTACCTGTGATGACCCAGTACTATGAATTATGTTTTTAGTTTTCTATTTTATGTTTGTATGTATAAACAGAAATATTTGTTCTATGTACTTTTAAATTTTGATTAACACATCATGTGTCTTCAGTGTCATGGGTTTTCATCATATATATTCATTTGGTGCCTGTTTTAAAGGTGCTGTGTAGGTAAGACTCAGGTGAATTCTGTTTTGCATTTGATGGATAATATGAATTGCATTGGATTCTTACAGCTAAGCCTGCTGTGGGCAAAATGATCCAAAAGACTTTCTTAACACAGAAGAGAACATGAGGGAACTCTTCAGCGGAAAGGATAGTGCAAAGCTATTTGCAGGGATGGTGAACGTGATTCTCGCTACCCAACCCGTCTTCTGTAGATGCCGTATCCTATGTTTCCTGCCATGTATGGCCTGGATGGATGGGATCAAATTGAAATCTTCAATTCAGTTACGTTTTTACAGGGCATGGGAATTTGAAGGGAAGGACATTTATGCATTATCAATAGACCAATGTAATATCTGAGCATTGTTTGGCCTTCCTTAGTAGGACATGTGAGTATGACAAGAAAAATTCCTGTGGTCTTGGAATCGTTCATCTTTGCTGTTTAATTTTGCATTGAAACTGCCATCAAAGAATATGGCCTTAGGACTATGCTGTGCCATTTGGATTCTTTTGAGTGCCAGTTTTTCTACAAAAAAAAGAAAATACCTCTTCACATATACTCAGGAACCAGAATGAACCAGCCTGCGCTCTACTCCACGTTGCTATGGGTAGACTCGTCACTGAAAAGAAGATCAGATATCCCTGTGCTGTAGGTGTAGCCATAAAACAGGGAAGGCAGAAAAAAAAGTAAGAATGTGCTATGCCAATGTCCGGGAACAAAACTGTATGATAAAACTGAGGAAGAAGCTGGGGGGTTGTTTCTAAAAGTTCTTCGCTGAGAAAATACCCTCTCTCCTTTTGTGGCCACAGAGCCCTGCCAGATCACACATGCTGTCTCCTATCTCAAGGATCTTATCAAGAACACTATGAATAATGACTACAGCTGATAATTCTGTACTTTTTATACAATGTTTATTTAAATTAAAGAAATAAAACCTGTAATTCAATAAACATTCTGTCCTGTGTTTTTATTTTATTGCCATAGGAGTTACACAAAGCAAGGAAAAAAGGATTTGGGGTTAGTAGTAAATGAGGAAGATGTCACTTTGCAAAAGATATAATTTGGGGTTATCTAGACAGTGAATCTTTCAGTAAATATTTATTGTATCCTTATGCAAAGTTCTTAATGTTTTCTCTATCCCCAATTATTGTCAAATATGTTAAAAACAACCCTAGAAAATTAATTAAATCCCCATTTTCTTCTCTTTTTCAGCTACTATGACAGTCTTTCTTTCTACAAACACAGAACAAGTCAGTCTCAATTCTGAGAAGTCTCCCCATATGGAATTCTTCTTAATCTCCATTCTGAAAGATTCAGGTATGATTTTGTGCATTGCTCTTCAAAACCTGAGTAATCACCTATTCTTCCCTTCTTCATTGAAAACTTTTGGGGTACAACAGTTGATTAAAATTTTATTTGGAAAATGTTATAAGCAGTAGGTGCATACACCTAGAAAGTTATAAAGCTATAAACTTCTCATCTCCATTGTAACAGAAATTTTCTTTAAAAGTTTCATGGGATAACACATCTTTTTCCTGAATTTGAATATTGCTCCAGTATGTTTCTAACTACTAGATACTTTCTAAATTCAAACCTTTTTGTCTTTAAATTAATGTTAAATCAGAAACAGCTTGAATTATTATTGTAATACTTCAAATTTAAAAAGCTTTAAATTTAGTGTCTTTTTCTCAGAAATTTTATGATTTTAGCTTACTTTTATCTTTGTAAGTGTAAAAAGAAAAACAAAACAAACCCTCAGGCTTCCACTTCAGCACAGTAGGGGTTAGTCACATATGCAGATGATATAAAAGAATTTTAATATACATACCCTCACTCTGCTTCTCTCTGCCTAGCTTTTCCTTTGTTTTATATTTTGTATGTTTATTCAAGGAATTAGTTTCAAGGATCACCCCGTTTTAAAAAGAGTTGGTTATTGGAGGTTTGGGGTTATGAAATAGAAATGCTGTAATTTTTTAATATAATGTAGTTTTGTGGATGAGCATCTTTATGATGCTGAATATAAGTTTTATAGCCACTAACCCTTATGTGGTACATTGTTCATTTATATAGTGTGAACTAATAAACTTCATAAAAATATTTTTTCTTTGCATCTATAGTAATCTATTAGAACAAGTAAACAGTAGTCATAATTAGCATTATGACAGTAAGTTTCATCTTGAAAGTGCTCAGCAATGTTAATTAAATTACAATTTAAAATTAGATTCTGCATTTATTTATTTATTCCATGAATTACTACTGAACGATGCTGGATTTCACAGAAAAATCCACTTTTTGTATGGAAAATCTGTAATAAGCTTTTAGAAAGTGCTCTGGTCTAAGACTGAGGATCTGATGTGTTTTGCAGTGAGTTTGATTTTTACTGTTTTTACAAAAGCTTGTTTCTTTTCATAATATGCAGCTTCATTAATAAATGTTGGATAGACCGTGCAGTTCCCTTCATATACAATTACTTCTCCATCAAGAGTCAAAAATAGAGGATCACCATTGTTCAGTGGCTGCCAGTCTTGATCCTTAGAGAAAGAAAATAAATAGAATATATTTACTTTCAAGTTTTTGTATATTTCATGTGATTTCTGAGTTTATGCTCAAAAATCATATTCTCTGCAATTTATGGCAAAAGCTTTTAATTCCTTTAATCTTCAGTACATAATTTCAGATGTCTGGTCCTCGTTTTCAGGCTTGTATAGAATTCACTGGTAAAGATGAACTAAAAGGAAACTGCATATGCTCACAATTAGTTAAAAACAGACCCTCATTTTAGAATTCAAAATTAGATTTATATTTTAGAATATAAGCTATCCTATCATCTTCTTCTTTTCAGTTTTAGGTTCAAAAGTTATTTTAAATTTGGTGATTCCCGAGTCAGTTACTGAAATACTGTATGACCTTAGTGATAGAACTTACCATAGGGAACGTCTGAAGTATTCAATAAACCCATTGGCAATATTGTAATTTTAAATACTTACTATTAAAAAGTATTACAACGTAGCAGAAGCAACACAGAAATACTTATAAAATGTCACAAATGGAAACTATTTTAGAATTTACCTGCAGTTCAGGGTGAATAATAGCAATAACTTCATCATTCTTATTCCTGGGATAATCTACTTTCTCCATTATTTTAAAAACCTCAATTGTACATGGTGGAAATTCCTTTCCTAGAAAGAATAAATGTAATTTAATGTCAAAATGAACAACTGCCTGTTAAAAAGAACAATGCATTATTTATTCTCTTTAGAATGGCTTAAATCATTAGGTTGTACCTTGTCAAATTTTACACACTGGTGATTAGCTCATATATCATAAAAAAGTCTAGCTCTAGATTTTTTTTTGTCCCCTCGAAGCCAAGTTGCAGAAAGATGATCCAGCATATGTAGCATATGAAGCCTAGATCTAAATTTGCTGCTGAAATGTGACTTTTCACTGTAGCCTTAAAAAGATGTGTTTTGTAGATGAAGAAATCAATGAAGGGTCTGTGTTTGATAGTGCTGCACAACACAGAACAGTATCAGTGGTATTCAATCTTTACCATTCCAGCACAATAATGAAGATTCTGACATGCACGACTGTATTCTTTTCCTTCTACTTCCAAAAAAAGCCTACTGACGAAATGTAGTCTAAAAGAATTTTAAACGCCCATTTTTGTCAGTATGTATTTTAGATAGTACACAGGTATAACAAAATCTTACAAAATTTATTGACTTTATTTTAGATAACAATGCACAGAAGGCATGTAAATTAAACACTTCTTTCCTACTATTAATTTATATATGTTCTCCATGTACATACTACTATACAAGTATTGTTAGCTAATATTTCAGATTTTCAAAGCAACTGTAAGATAAAGATCAGGTATACTTACTGAATCTTCAGAAAGAGGAAATATCCTTAAAGCTACACAAAGGAGCTATACAGGAATTCTGACTTTCTGATGCTACGCCTAAGTGGTCTAGAGAACAATCTCACTCCCCTGTCTTAGCTGTTTAACTGTAAAATGTTGTAGCCCAACCTATTTTTTCTTAAATATTCTCCTGAAATAGTCCACTGATATGACACAGGAGGCTATAACTTCTCATTACTTACTCTACCTTCATTAAAAAGTTGCACAAAATCAAGGCCGTGTTTGACAATCTTCCTCATTTTGTCCAAAGTATCAGCTCTAACAACACCTTGTGGCTGGGGACCCACCTCCACACCTGTTTGCAGATGAGGGAGATTATTAATATAGCCATAATACATCACATGCTTAGATTACACAGAAAAAATAGATGTCTGATTGGGTCTGGTTTTATGTTTAAGAGGAATTGTAAAGTACAAAGTTATGTGATTTTGAAGGCAAGCAGAAAATTTAGCTCACCAGTCAGGATCAGTTTAAAGAACCATATGTGCATTTTTGAGTGTGCTACTAGGGTAAGAGAAAGAGTCACTATATATATTAATTTCTCTTATCCTTTTCCTCAGCCTATCTTTTCATGCTGCATTTTAGAGAATTAATTGTTTAATATGAAAAGCAAACTAATGATTTTTTTTTCTATGGTTATGATTTTGATTTCATAAATGAAAAAATTAACCACTTCCATGCAGAAAATAATTTCCCCCTTCCTTTATCACATTTTCCCTTTTCCTTTTCTTGGCTAACACCCGGTGTTTCAGCCAAGGCTTTTTTAGAGGATGTAAACATTTTTTTTCTGGAGCTGTTACTTCTTCCTTCTTCTCATATATTGTAAGTATTTTCTGCAGTGGGTTAACTGAGTTTAAGAATTTCCCTCTGGCTTCTGTATTTTGTAAGCCAAGTATAAATCAGAACTCTTCAGAAGAGAGAATCATATACATTTGATTCAGTAAATATATTGTCAAACAAAGAGCTATTGGTGATCAGAGCACTCTGTATAACGTAATGAAATGAACATATCTGGATACAGGCATATTTTAAAATAATTTATGGTGGCTTAAAATAGTCTTTATTTTTCATATTTACCAACAGGATGTTTTGCTACAGATCGAGTTGTTGCATATTTCAAGCTAGGATGTTCAATCAGCAAAACAGGACAGTGTTCTGGAGCCAAAGCGTTCTGTGGAGATTGTTTAAAAATTTCTTTGTTATGCAAATATTTTTAAATGTTGTGCCACAAAAGATTACTGATGCAGAAGAGATTTACACAATGTCTTCAATATGTTGCCTTTATTTCATTGCCCTCAAAGAACTAGGACATCTTTAGAAAACGTACAAAGCTGTATTTGTTGGTCTCCTTTCCATTAACTCATGCCAGGCATGCTCCACTGAACTTTGCTGTCTCCTAACACAACTGAACACAGTTCTGGTCTTAAATTGCTAACAGGAAGAAAAATCTACTCATCAGTGTTCCAAAACTTAGAATCAAAATACCATAAAGCAGAGTTCAGGTATTTTTTGTGTTAGACTTAGATTCTCTTATGGGGACAGGGATTGTGAATTAAGCATTATTTTAATCTTTTTTTGACATAGAAACCTATTTCAGGCCTCTTTCCTGATGACTACCTACCATTGCTCTTCATATAATTTTAGTCATAAGCTTTCTAGCTCTTCAATACTTTATAAACATTTAAATGGGATATATGTAATAAGAAAAAAATCAAATGCTATAATTAACCTTGTTTCTAAGGGGAAAAAAAATAATTCTGCACCGTTGGCCTAACCTCAGTTTCATCAGTCATTGTCTAGGTCACTAGTACTTCAAGCAGATTACACTTCAGCCAGCACTTTTGCAAACCTCACTCTACCAATACTTATCTGCTTCAGGAACAGCAGAATCAAACAGCTTCTAAAGACATATGCCTATTCCTATAAATACTGGTGAAGGGAACATTTGTCATTGCCTAGATCCATTATTTTTTACCTGTCTTTTTTTCATAAAATTAATGTTTAACTATTTAGCATGTGATCCAAATTAATCCAAATTCCTGACAGATCAGTGTGAAAGCAGATTAAATTACATTCATTTTCACAGATGTTATTCTAAGCATTCTCTTTGCCCGTCAGTCTTACTAACACTCATTTTAATACATGAAGATTATGAGTTCAAACGTGAATTACCTGATATTATAATCAAATTATTAATTATCTCTGATTAAAAAACCCATCCTATGAATGATTAAATATTTTAAACAGTTTTGCAGAATAAAAAATAGGATATTTAAAGAAACTACAAAATAATATATAGTAATACAACATTACAACTAATAATCTATTTTAATAGTTTATTTCAATTAGTTTTACCTTGATATAATGAAACATTTGAATTGTAAAGTCATCCCTGGAGTTTTCAAGAATAAGGGTACCACCCATGTTAGAAGTGGTGTTGTGAAGGTCAAAAATAAGGTCATACGCGTCATCACTACCTTTTGGACCAAATATATGATTGATTTCCTGAGCCCTTCTCACTTCATATGGAATATCTTCCACCACTGTCCTGCTGTTAATATCAGTACAAAGAAATTAGTAAACTCATTCCATGGCTTTACAGTCAACAAAATATGTATACCCTTTCCTTTTTACTTTAATTCCATAATTAACTGGAGTTGAAATCACCTATTTAATTACCAAATTGTTAAAACTTGATTAATTTATGCTTGAAAAAAGCAAGTATGATTGTTAAATGGGTATTTATTATGTATCTTTTGCAGAGGGGTAGTAAGAATTTTTCTGTCTGATTTTAGGTGGAGACTGTTTACTTCTCTCTTGTTTCTTTACATCCCCAAATTTCCCCCTATGCAGAAAAGTAACTAAAAATTTATTAACAACTTAAACCACTTCCAAAACTGGATCCACCTCCTACTGAAGATGGTATTCACATATTGGTCCTCGCCCTTTTACCTTGGATGTCATTCACAAGGTCTTTTTTTATTCATTTCTTGTCTTCTCATATTCTGATCACATTTTTACAGTCTATTGTTTTGAGCCCTGCTGACTCTCAAAGCTCATAGATTTTGCTACCTCAAGTTTATTCCTCCAAAGTTTTAATACTTGAAATCTCAGGTGACTATGTCCATACTACACTTATAAAAAAACGGTCTTAGCCTAAAGAAAGGTCTGAGATCTGCTTCCTATCTGTATAAGGGCTCTATAGGAAACTGATGTTTGACACAAAGACATCTATCTTAGATATTAACCGTGTACAAGGCTGCTGTAGGTTCAGACTTGTTCCGCACAGATAGCAAATCTGTTTTTGATGACAGGCTTGGGATACTACCCAAGTACAATATAGACATGCCTAATATCTTCTGCACTAAATTAAGTTTTCTTTCTCAATACAGTTCAAGCTTTGTAATATTTGAATTTTGTAAGAAATACCGGTACTAAGTTGCATAAAGAAAGTTTTGTTAAATACTAACAAAACACCTTACTAACTGCATGGATATTTAAGCATCAGAAGAGGTTGCTGAGGAAAATTATGGGATCACGACAGCTGGAGTATTAAAAATGGCAAGATATAATCTGTTAGGAATGGTTACATGCAGTTGATCTACTGGTGGGACATGAGGTGGATTAGAATTTTTACGTGAGCCCCTCAAGCTCCTTTTTCTATTTTTATGATTCTGTATATCACATAATATACCTTTGTCTTCTTTCATTTTGTCTTTGAAATTCAAGGTTTCTTCATATAAGACTGTTAAATTAATACTTCTTACTGAAGTTAATGGGACTTTCACCATTACTTTCAGTAGTATCAGGATTTCACTCTCCTTTTTCTTATTTTGTAAAATCATTTGTAATCTTGAAGGGTCTACACTTAAAGGGATCAGGTGAAGGTATTCCAAACAGTCAGGAGTATTGTAATAGGACTGGGCAACTTAATAAGATTTACTGAGGAATATTACTTAAAAAATGAAGACAACCTGCAGGTGCCTTAATCTGCTATTTATTTCAAGTTTCCTGTGTTCAAAGCAGCTGAAAACAAACAAACCCACTTTTTTTTCATAAGTAAACAATTAAAAGAATCGCCTCAACACTTATGTTTTTAAAAGTCTGTTTATCTTATATGTAATAATCAACAACAAAATTCGAAGATGAAAAGCCAGATGAAAAGATGTGCAGGGTAAGAATAACCATGCTTACAAAATATGTGATACATATTTCTTTCAGTGATATTCACATTTACCATTAAAACCTTTCTGAAACATAATTACCTGTTTAGCATGCAACTAAACCAAGCGTAAGAATGTTTATACAGCAAAGTACACCTCTGGAATAGATGTCTCCAAAGCAGAGAAACATAAACCCATTAAAAATGTAAAATCAATTACTATTGTACAGTAATTATAGATTGTATTTCTTCTAAAATAATGAGTCAGTTTATTGAGACTTTTTGGCTATCGTTTTGCCATAGAATACATTATTTCCAACTTAGCCAATTTCAAGTTTTCATCTTTTACTGTATTTAGCTGAAATTAAATACACTTCCCTGACTTGTATGCCATTCTTTCAGATACTCAGATGTCTACCTTTAAACTGCTTTTATCTGTGATCTTCCTGCAAGTATAATTGTAATCAGAAGAGTTCCAAAATGAATTGCACAAGACCACATGTGAGAAATAATGACTTTGCAACTCAGAACAGCAATGCTTTAGTTTACACAAATACAGCTAAGCTAATACTAATTTAAAATGCTGTGTGTAAGATTATGTGTTGGTTTGAGACTGCTTCAACTAGCAATAGTTTTAAAATGAATCTGTTAACACTTATGCAATTTGTTCTTTTGGGGTTAAAGGTCAGTAATTTCAGTTATGTGACTGCACAGTTAAAATAGTAGTGGAACTTGTGTTAACATTTTAGCCTGGAAAGGAAGCTCCTTACAATTTTAAAAAACAGAAAAGTAAAACAACAGAAAGTACAACTATTCTTACCCAAGATTATCAGGGTCAAAAACACGGTTCAGATCACAGTCAATGTATCTAGTACACTTCTTCACAGCTCCTGGGTTGGCAAGAAATGGTTTCACTTCCATTCCTGTTCTGTGAATCTCAGCTCCGTTCTCTTGCCAGTGCTTGACCAAAAATACCCCTGATAACTCATTGCCATGAGTTCCCCCGAAGATAGCAACCCGTCTTACTGGAGGTTTATCAACAACAGAAGAGGAAGTCATGCTTTTCAGCAGCTCTGAGAATTGCTGAAAGCAAAACAGAAAATAATGATAAAGTAAAACTTCTGTCTCCAAAAAAAAATATTCTTTTTAATAGGAAATTCTTTAAGCCTGTTTAGGTCAGATGTGAAAGAAAGTGAATTAACATTTCTCTTAACAGTTTTTGACTCCCGTTGCGAGGCAGGGAGTTGCTAACCTAACACTCCTCCCTCTCCAGGAGCCCTCCCCTTCTTTTACCATATTTAGTAATATCTCCAAGTCTGTTAATGGTACTGTTACACAGTTCAAAAGTTAATTTCTCTAGGCAATCTCTATTAATATATGGTATATAGGTAAGTCTTGTACTAACGACAGTCTGAAAAGACTTTTTAAATGTAAACTTTAATAATACACTTAAATATATCTGACATTTCTGCATTGCAAACCAGGTGTAACAAGTATACTCCTGTATGTTTGAAGTTACATAAACATTACAGTATACAAGGGCAGAATGATTTAAAGTGAGCAAAACCAGTAAAATATGAATCATATCTGGGCTCTAGATCAACACACAATGCTGAAACATCAAGTACTTTCATCTAAAAAAACAAGAACAGCTGGGTTCCTCAAAGCATGTTGTTGCTTGTAGGACCTTTTTTCTTTTATAATATCTGAAGAACAGTGATTAGAAGGAACGCTAGCTGAAATTAAAGTGCACAACTGACTTGCCTGGTATTCCTGGCTCTAGTTCTATCTCCGAATCTGCTACCACAGACCTCTAACACATTGAAACAACTTTGCCAGTGACAACCCTTCTGACTTCTGCAATCTCTTATTAAAAAGGAAACACATACAGACCACAATGGGACAATAGTTGTGTTCTCCCCCTCAAAAAACCTCAGTCAACAACTTGACTTCTTCCATTTCCAAAAGCATTCAGAGAGGCTTCTGAAGCTTAAGCCGAAGAGCAGCCAGAACTTCCATCGTGAGGATCGAAACGTTTAGAATAAAAAGTCTTAATAACAGAAAGTAAGTTTTACAGCTGTAAATAACAGAAGTATTTGCAATTAGTATCCAACACATGATATTAATATAAAAAATGTTACATTGCAAGGGAATAAAGAATGTTTATTGAACAATTCCTTTTTATTAAGATTATACTCCAGTGACTATTCGGCTAGTGCCTTGGAGAGGCTTTATAACCCAGACTGATAGATTGTAGGTCTACGAAAAGAAAGCGAAACATGGGACTTATCTAGACAAGTTCTGCAGGGAATATATTTCCTACAAAAGTTGCTCTCTCTCTTTCAGTTTATGCACACGGATTTCCTGAACCTTACAGCGAGTTAATACAGAGAGACTGGTTACTTAAACACTCTCCTGTACTTAGAGGCTGTCAGATATTTAATCATAGTAAGTAATTTATTAAACAAAGCAGTAAAGTTGTATTTTACAGCACTGCATAGTCTGTACTGTCCTTTGACCCCAGTCTCTTTAGTGGTGCCAAAACAGCTATTCACATGCTGCCTGAAAAAATGACTCATGTTCTGAATCTTGGTTTGCTGAATTTAAACACCACAGCAGTTTGAAGAATAAACAGCAAAATGCAAACATGCAGGGCTAGTACATATATTTTATCTTTTATTGCTGGTGATACTGTAATGGTTATAATTCCATGCAAAACACTGCATGAAACACAGAGATCATCCGTGCACTTACCTCATTTAACATGCAAGAAGTTTGCCTCCTAAGAAGAGCTTTCTTAGGACAGATACAGTGCATTTCCAAACATGAGTTTAGGAACTAAAGCCATGGAGGCTTCTTTTATATCCTTACAGCATGTTAACTTCCAAACAGATTTTAACTCCTGCTCTCCCAGGACATTACAAGGACCCGCGAATTTGTGGCATAAATGCAGACGCTTGAAAAGTTTTCACTGTTCTGAACTAAATACCAGGACCCATCTCTTATTCCTGTGCTTTGCTAATACACTTTGAAAAATTATGTAGGATTATATTCAGTTTATTAAGAATTCAGATTGTTTTTATGTACTGCATACAAATATCTGGTAGTGCATCTCAAAGCTTAGAATATGTGCCATGACCTGAAAAACATATCCAATAATAAAATGTAAATGAAATGAAGTCTTGCCATCAAAGTCTCAAAGGTGCATAGAAGAAGTTTAATGTGTCTCGCCAAAGCCTTCCAAGGCTGAAGAAAAAGGATTAGAAAAAAAGGACAGGCTCCAATCCTGATGAGCGCTAGGATTTTACACAGGAACCAGTCAAAAATTACACGGTGGAGAACAGCCATGTATAAAATGTGTAAAGAAATAGAAAAACAGCGTGAAGAATGCAGATAGTTTTATTTATATCCATGTTTGTGTTCACACATTTGTGGGGATTCAGCTCCTGCCCTGGTCTCTCTAACTGCTGAACATGACACCACCTGGGCCAGTTCCACGGGTATAGAGATAATTAATTAAATGGACCGATTTAATCGTTCCTGCCAGCCGCCCTCCACCTCGGGATCGCGGCAGTTTCCACCCACGCCGGGG